CAGTGGCAATAACTCTATCTTCATTGCAACTTAAAAAGAGAACGTGCACAAAATGCCCATTTTCAAATAATACTGTAGTAACTACAGATGGTACTATGAGAGATTATCACTGAAAAGTAGAGAAAAAACATGTCAGAGAAAAACATTCAGGAAAATGTTACTTATGAGCTTTCATTAGTCTTCCAAAACCATTGTTTTCTTTTTCTTAGTCTGTCACCCCCACTCGAAAAGCCAGGCAATTACTAAGTGCTGACACACAGATTACATTAAAAAGTAAACAATTAATAACCGTATATATGGTTGAAAACGAGTCCACAGCATGTGAGAACAAGCCAGATACTGACCTTGTCAAAAAAGGAAAACTCTTGCAGTGTTCCATATTTTCCCACTGTTGCTACTGAGAGATCTTTGGTACCTCGCAGTTTCATTTTCTTCTGTTAAAAGGACGTGAATTTCTACTTAAAAGGTTGTGACTCAAACGCTATAAAATTCCACTTTGCTGACCTGTAACAACTCTCTGCATCAAAGGCATCAAACTCACTATTCCCCAAATAGTGATCTAACATTGCCACGTCAAATCCCCCACAGTAACCTCTATCAAATGACTTCTGCTTAAGAAGAAAACTAAAAAAGGACCATTTGAGGAAGAATTCTAGAGAAACGCTTCTTTGTAGAAGCAATCAATTGGCACTTTCCAGGGTCCTGCTCTTCCTCATACTTAATACTGAGGGTCCTGATATTTAATATTCAGCATGTTAGCGTAACATGTTTAAGCATACTTTAAAAATTCTCTTTCACTGCATTAGATAATCCTCTTTACATTAACTTTTGAAATTTTGTTTCTTGCACCTAACACTTACCTACGCTATTCATTGCAACTTTAAGCAATCATCTAAACACAACAAGTAAGACAGGCGTATTCTAGGTTTTTGCTTGCAAAAGGATACCTTTGCTGGGCCAGAAACAGGACGCAACAGCAGTGGTCTGGATCGCTTTTTGCTATGTTCCAGATTCTTTTCATGCTCAGTTTTCTGGACACTGTTCACTTCACATGGTCCATTTCCTGTGAACTGAAGTACATAAATAATGATTTCAATGCGCTCTCCTTAACCTGTGCAAAAAAAGAATCCTGTTTATCCAAACAGAACAGAGAGAATGTAGTTAAGTCTCTTCCAACCAATGAAAAAGAGGAAAGTTCACCTACTGGCTGGTAGGCTTTTCCATAATATTTTGCATTCCTAAAGCTTCTTTATGTATTCTACCTACAAACAGAGAGAACTCAATATTCTGCCTTACATGAAGCATACACATACCAAAGACCTTTTAGCCTCTGGGAGGAACTGTCCAAACTCAGACAGCAGATCCTCCTGCCCCCGGAACAGGTTTGCTACTTCGGTAAACACTTCTTCCTCTGACATGCCTCGAAAGGGTCGGCCTTTAGTGTTCAGCTGTTCTTTCTGAAAGATACACACAGATGTTCAATAGCTATAAAAACATACCTCATTATGCAAGAAAATTTCTTAACTCCATAGCAGCCAGCAGCCAAAACCAAAGACCCTAAGCAATATGAACAAACTTTACATAACATCAGCTAGCCCAAGGTTCTTATAGTGCATCCTATCACACAGAACATCATTAAATCAACTGAAAGTTAGTAAAGACAGATCTAGATACAATCATTTTATGCCTCAGAGCCCAGAAAGTTCAGCAATTTTCACACATTTGTCATTTCATGTGAATATCTACGAGGCAATTGTTGGACAAAGGCCAGCGCTTGGGAACTGTGCAAGCTTGTTCAATAGACAGATGTTTCATTTGACCACACTGTTCAAACAACTACAGTGCAAACCCACAGGCTTTTATATGGAAGACTTTTTACCTGGTAAGTATGAAGAATTTCTAAAAAGGATCTGTAAATTTCTGGATGGTCAAGGAAACGTGTTTTGATCTTATTCACATAACTGATGGCATTATTGAATTCTACAGAATCAGACTCCAAAGGAATTTGGGATTTATCTTCTTTGTATGGAAGCTGTTGCCTAAACTCCTCCGAACAATCACTATGGTTGTGCGAATTCTCCTGAGAGTAATGCAACAACAGCCCGCTGCCAGGGAGAGTGCTGGGAACAGGCTCTGAGGGCACCTAGTGGCACAAGATATGCAAGACAGTGACTTGTAAAGAAACACAGGTGCAAGTTCAACAATTTAGCATCAGTATTTTAAAGCAGTTTAGCTAAAAAAAGATTAACGCATAAAGGAGAAACAAAATAGATTTAATGTAGCCAATAAATTTCCTTATTTATGTCATTAACATCATCAGGTAAAAACGTCCCATAAGCCATATCTGGCTTACGAACTATCTGATTCATTAATGCTTCTGTCGCTACATTATCCACTACGCTTGAAACGGTAGAGAAGCCACGAATGTACCAAATAATCTGCACTGCAGCTTCTATTGCCACCGTTTTATTTCTGAAGAACTGTCAGTTCTAAGAAACATATTACAACACAGGGCCCCTTAAAGGTGCTAAATTTATGAGCAACAGAGGGATCTAAGAGAACTGAGATCTAAAAGAGATTTACTGCTACTAATTAGAGTTAAACCATTTGTTTGTAAGTAGGATTGAGGTGATAGCTCTATTTCAGATTCCACAACCACACAGGAAAAAGGGAAGCCAAGACCAATATGTATCTATTTATATTACAGCAGATGTCTTTCTTTGCAGGATTTGAACAACTGGATGACAACACCTGACTTTTTTTTTTTTGCCTATTGCCTAAACATATTTCTCATTTTCTTACTAAAAGACTGGAAATACGATTCTTCCGGGATTTTTTTTTTTCAAATTTGACATTATACGCTATGCACTGAGAACATATGTCAACATGTCAAGCCAGTGACAGTTTCAGTTTTCAAATTTAACTGAAGCATTTGGATTTGCAGTGGCAATTCATTCGGGAATTTCATTCCTAGTTTAGCAAGCTAAAGTAACAACTAGTTTGAGAATAAATATTTAGATTTATACTAAACCCATCCTCATAGACTTTGAAAACCACATAAAAACCTTAGATGTACACGTATTGCATGTTGCTTTGTAGCCTAAACTATGCAAGAGACCTATATAGGGATACATATACCACAATTCAGTTAGAGTAATATAAGTGCTTTAACCTACCTGACTAGTCAGTGGTGACTGTATACTTAATTTCCCATTCTTTGGAATTTCTATTCTGTAGCCCAAAGGGAGGAAAGCATTGAATCCTACAATGAGGTCGGGATGCTCATGGAACAGCTGTGAAACACGCCTGATTACTCCAGGGGTGTCAATGCTAGAAATGAGAGGAGTTTGTTACTTGCATCCAAACCAAATATACAAGTTAAACCCAGAAAATTACAGAGGTATGTCAAATGTCTGGTTCCTTAGAGATGCAATTTTTAACAAGAAAGTTTGGGATCCTCAGACCTAGAGATCAGCCCAAACAGAGGGAATGACTGCCATGCTCTGCAGCCTCCCACTGGAAACAAAACGTTCTCCACAGAGCAGAGACATGAGTGTGCAGGTTACCCAAAACAGACACGACAGCCATCGCCTCTAGGGCTGGCAGGTCACAGAGGGGCTCTGCGCTCAAGCTCCTTGTCCAGATCTGCGTTTCAGAGTGGGCAGTAAAAACAGATTTGCTTTTCCCTGTGCGTTTTGGCTCTAGGAAAGGATGGAGCAGACGATGCTGGGATGGATGGAGACCCTCCATCTCCCGAGTGTCTAGCTGACCGCGCTACAGGGGGACAGGACCAGCACGGTGGCCTGTGTGGCTGAGGAGGCGGAAGGCCGGCGTGAAGGCTGGGGGGACCCCGCAGGGCCGAGGGGCCCCCGCACAGGTCGAGGGGCCCCGCGGGGGGGCCCAGGCGTTACCTCTGGCTCTTGAACTCCTTCATGATCTCTAGGAAGCCGTTGTAGGTGGCGGGGGCGC